TCTCCCCGCTAGACCCTGGTTTGATTCCCTTGGAGCTCAACTTTGTCCCTTTAATTTTTACTTCCATTGGGTGGTGACACATGTCACCACCTGATTGGATAGAAAAATTATTTAATTAAATAATTTAAAATTCATAAATAAAATCTTCCAATTATATATTGACATGTGTCACGTTCTAATTGAATAATTAAATTTATTTAATTGAATTAATATACTGACTAAATTGATAAAAATATGTAAATATTAATGACCAAATATATAATTATGTCAATTAAGCTTAACGGACACGTCATCACCTCTGTTAAAAAATAATAGTCGGTGGTTTGATTGAATCAATTAAATAGTTGGGTGGTCTGATTGATTCAATTGAAAGTTCAGTGGTCACATTGATTTTTCATCATAGTTTAATGGTCTCTCGTGTAGTTTACCCTATTTGTTATAACAAAAACTTTTAGATGATTTAAAGAAATGTTCATCATAGACTTTTGAGAGTAAATTAAATAAGTCTTGATTTTTTTCTAAACTTATTGGTTTTAACTTGTATTTATTCAACCTTATTTTCAAGTTCTTTATTGGTTTCGAAAGGAAACTCATTTTCATTTTCAACTTTAAAATATTCCTTTTGTGTTTTAAAGTTATGGTTTCAAATTCCAAAATTAATCTATTGTATGTCCATTATAATTTTTCTTAATCGGAGGACTTTTCAACACTCCATGTAACCACATTAGCCTTGTGTTTCTTCTTGTTAGACCTGTTGTTCTTTAGTTATGTACATTCAAATTTGATGTGCCTAATTTTTTTCACTCATATCAAATAATATAATCTTTCTCTTTATATTTGTTTTTGAAATGATCATTCCTTTGGAATCTTTCTCCTTTATTGAACCTCATAAATCATTTGACAAAAGATTTCACTTCTTCATCATAATCTTCACTTGAGTCACTCTTTTTTTTTTTTGTGGTTTTGAGAACAACTTTAACTTTATGCTTTTATTCTTCTTCCTCCTTCACCATCGTCTCAAGAGTGGGTAAAGACCTAATAAGTTTATCTAGTATGTGAGTCTTTAGATTTTTTACTTCAACTATTATCGTCTTCTTGGATTGTTATGACTTAGGAAGACTATAAATTATCTTCCTCACAAGCTTCTTATTCAGGATGACTTCTTCATATCTTTTGAAACCATTTACAATTACGAAGAATCTATCAGATAATGTTTTAACATTTTCGTCTAATTTTATCTTGAAGTTCTCATAAAAAAGATTGAAAAAGTTAATTTTAGTTTCTCATATCTTTTTTATATTCTTCATTAGTAATTTCAAGTTTGTCTCAAATCTTGCATTTAAGATCCTTTAATATTTATCGGAATCAAGTGTCCAAAATAGAATATACATGTCCTTAGCATTGAGTTTAATTTTTTTCTTCTTTTTTTCATTCCACTTCTTTATCTCTCTAGTTGGAGTATAATGGTCCTTCATCATTATGTCCTAAACTTCCAAATCGGTGGCTTAAATGAAGAGATTCATCTTATTCTTCCAATTGGTATAGTTGGTTCTACTAAAATATGAAGGCTTATAGATAAGTTGAGTGTTACCAATATCGAAAGTTGATAGTAGAGGCTATGAGTGACTTTGATGAAGACTGAATTCTCCTTGGGAATCCTCAAAAGATTGTGTTGGGATTTCCGAAGTTCAATTTAAATAACCGAGAAATGCACTAATTTGGTTTAGGGAGTAAGGAGAAAGAAAAGATAGATAATTTTGCACAGCGATTTATAGTGGTTCGACTTCTCAACTAAGTCTACCTCCACTACCTTAGCTCCTCATTAAGGATTTTCCAACAAATCCACTAATTTGTTCTTTCTTTTTCAAGAATCAAGAGTAACCTTTACAAACCCCCTAGTTTTTCAAATGGCTAAACTAGAACCATTCCCCTTTACAAAAGGTAAAAAGAAGTAAACAAATAAAACCTCTTAAAGGTATGTCATTTACAAAATAAAGCTCACAAGAACAAATATGTACAAGAGAATAGAAGATAACAATGAAAAATTATTCTCTTGTGTTTGAATACTTGGATAGGTGTTCTGACCTTTCTTCAAGTGTCTTAAACTTGTATTTATTTGTTGGAATGAGTTTGTGGTCGTTTCTAGTCGTTAGGAGTGATTTGGAGCCATTGGGGATGTTTTCTATGCAAAATAAAATTGCCCAGTATAAAGGGTATCGGTACTCTTATAGGGAGTATCAATATTACCTTTGTTATTTTTAAATAAAACTAGTTGTTACTAGTCGTTGGGTCTAACGGTATTGATAGTAAGCCTATGGTATCAATACTACTATGTAAAATAGTATCGGACTCCCTTTGGGTATCAGTACCATTTTTACATTCTGGAATTTGAGCAAGCTGGTAGTATCGATACTACCTAGTGAGTATCGATACTTTCCTTACCTTTGGTATCGATATCATATGAACAATATCGATATTGTTCATGAGGTATCGATACTGTAAGAACAATATCGATACTTCTTGTCCATAAAAACATTTTGCGCTCAATTCCAAGTTAAATGGACTTTGAAATATTTTTGAAAACTTTGAAAAACTTCAAATAAACTCAATTTAAGTCCAAAAATATTTTTTCCATAAATTGTTATATCAAAACATAGTTCAATAATCTCTCCCATTTTATACAACAAAACATTTGAAAAATTGTTTTTGGCAAAACTCCTCCTTAATAAAATATTTAATGGAAAAGATGTCAATTGTTGGAAAATGTTCAGCTCCCCCTTTTTCATTGAGAAAATTTTCATTGAAGAAATTAAATTTTTCAAACCCATATTTCTCCCCCTTTTTCTTATGTCAAAAATAATTTAACTTTAAAGTTCAAAACTAACATTGGAGAGTAAGTGGTAATTTTATCAGTTAAAACATTTGAAAAATCAAAAGCTCCCTGTAACACCCCAACCCGTACCCGACCTGGATACGAGTCTGAGATGTCACATTGACTTTTTAAAACAATATCCTTACAAAATAACTACGTGTATATACTGTTGAATTATGTTCGTTATAACAAATTTAAGGAAAGAAAGGTTTTTATGAATAATACTTTATTGTATGAATAGTATTGATACTGTGTAAATAGTGCCAAGAACAGTAATGAATAGTACCGATGCTAAAATTTTTCTAAAATACTACTGGGGTATCGATACCCTGCTACAGTGTACCGATACCCTGCTACAGTGTACCGATACCCTACTACAGTGTACCGATATCCTGCTACAGTAATTTCGGCCCACTTATATAAAACTCATAAAAATTTAAACTTTCATCACTATACAATACCATTTACATATATACATTTAAAACATTACAAAACTCGATCAGAGCATCCATACTTAATTTACCGACTTTGTTTACATGCCAACCTATTTATCACATAACAAGACATACTGTGTAATTTACTTCTGATCTGATCTTTGAGCAGAGATATGTTGTTCCTTTGAACTTAGCTTTGATCATTCTGCTTCTCAGTACCTACGTGTAAATCACTTACACACTATTACACGCTAAGTCATAGACTTAGTGAGGCATAAAATATAATAATAATAATAATAATAATAATGCATCTCATATACATATGAACATATAATCTAATTATTCTACCATGTCAGAGATTATTCAGTGTAAATGATAATAGCATGATAACATGTAATAATGTAAACACTTTTGATACATTTTGTAAGCCCATGTACATTACTGAGAACCTTAAGGTACGTGAGTACATTGAGGTTGTGCACTTATGCTTTCAACACAGCTCGTATGGGATCCCACTATGGGCATGTGAAATTTGTCCCGAATGACCACTTATAACATATATGTCCCATAGGACCATGTAGAACCCTCGACTCTTGGCATGCCAACTATACCCTTAGCTCTCATATCATATAACATGGGCATTATTCTCATACTTCATATGTTCATGTATTCATGTCATTTCTCTTGTAATCACATATGTCTTTTCTTCTATCACATATCATATATATGTGTAATCATCTATTTCATATCATATAACATATATTACATATTGCATATTCATGTAAGCATGTAAATCATGTCACATATAATAAAATATACCCATTTCTTTGTATTCATGCACACATAAGAATCACATAACATTTTAGAAGTTACTTCTTACTATAGTAACTCTGTCACTGGTTCACCGCAAGCCAATGTTTGATCAATAACATAAGTACAAATTAAATTTCACTCACCTATATCTTCTTGTCTTTCCCTCAATCAATCCTACTTGTCAATTGTTCCGGAATTTGTTTAGGCTCTGTATCTACATAAATATAATTTTCAAGACAATTATCAGAAGCCTAAACCTTATACTTCGATGCTATTAACTTAAATGAATTTAATAAACCAATATTCACTTTTTGTTTTAGGGGTATCGATACACTCTTTAAGGTATCGGTACCCTTATTGCATTCTATGATTTTTCGTTCAAGAGGGTATCAGTACACATACATAGGGTACCGATACACTCTACCCAAAACAGGATTTTTCACCCGAAAATTCATCAACTCTTCACTGAATTTCCTCATACAAAGCTCTTTTCATACCACTAAACTCAATTACAACCATTTTAACTAAATTTTATCATTCCAACACTTTATTATCTCTCATATATCATTCAAATTCTTAAAACTAAGAATCTCACTAAATTTTCCATGTAATCCAAACTTATTTCTAACACTTATAACTTCTTATTCACACCTATGACAAGTCAAATTCCATCTCAAAGTTCCTTTATTAACTCTTTTCCAGAAATTCCCTTAAAAACCTCTTCTCTTTAATCTTTCATAACTTCTTCATCTTTTGATTTTAAGACAACTTCAGTTTTCCTTAAGCTTAAGTATTACCTAAGGATCAAAACTCATACTTAAAATAAACAAATAATCAACTAATCAGAAAACTTAGCTTTGCTTGGCTCTCTCTCACGTATGAAGAATAAGAATAAGAAGGAAGAGATTTTTGGAGAAATCTCTCAACTTTATCCCCATATATATCATTATCTTATCGTTTCCAAGTCAAATGATCATTTTGCCCTTTAATTCCTTTAATAATTACTGACAAACCTTCATCAAATATCTCCAAATAAATTCTTAAACTATTCAACTATTTTTTAATCACCAAATTCTGAAGTTTTACAATTTAGTCACTAACCTATAGTTTGGGATGTTACACTCCCCCTCAAAAAGCGCATTCCAAACAAATATTTGACTTTAAAAACTTGACACTTAAAAGAAATTAAATTTCAACAAAGAATAACAAACATGTTAGTAACACATGAAATTCAATATATCCAAGTCTAAAATACTTTATGCTATATCAATTGTTGAAATTAAGTGCATATGCATAAAATTATTAAAAATGTTATGCATTTAAAAAATTGATATCAATTGTTAGAGAGATATCATTTGCATTTAAAACTAATTTTGAGCAAAATTCATTATGATGAACTAAAAATTATGAAAAATTTATTAAAACTTTAGATAATGTTCATCATAACACATTTTTCAACATACATGAGATAGAAAACATGAAATCATTTAAAATTAAAACTCATGCATGCATAAACCTAAATGAGCAACCAAATAATAAAAAAACATTAAGCTTAGAGGTTACTCATTAATTTTCAAGTCTGGCTAGAGCATTTGAGTATTGTCACTTTCATCACCATTGCTCCCACACACCTACAAGAGATATTTAAGTAGATTTTGGTATCCAAATCGCTTTGGATCCTTGAACGTTAGTTTCAATGTCTTGTTCCCTTAGGAACCGATACTTGTCTAATTTTAAAAGATTTTCTTTTCTTTATAGGACAAGCATGTTCCATATGACCATGAAAATGGCAATGTGAGCATTTTGCCATTTTTAAACATAACGAGTTGTTTTTAGAAATTAATTTTTTTTCTTTTATTAAACTCTCAATCTTAACTTTCAAATCAAAATTTTCTTTTTCTAAATCATTGATTTTGACTTTTGAAAGCTCTAAATCATTTTTCAAAATTTCATTTTGTTTTTCAAAATCAACGTTTGCTTTCAAATCCAAATCATTTTCAACTTTAAATTTTGAAATTAATTTCTTATATATGGAATTCATGGTCTTAAATTCCAAATACAACTCATTGTAAGCAACTTGTAACTCAACAAAAGAATAAGAATCTAATTCATTTGAGTTAGAAGTTACCATTGAACCTTCTTGGATAGACATGAGGCATAGGTTGACTACTTCATCTTCATCACTCCAAGCTTCCACAAATGCCTTTTTCTTGCTTGATCCATTTTTTCTTTAGGAGGGGACATTCATACTTGACATGCCCCGTTTTTTTAGAATTGAAGCACACTGGAAGACTCTTCTTCTTGCTCGATTCATGCTTCACTTCCTTAGAAGTCATGAATCTTTTGAATCTTTTGAAGAGCTTGACCATCTCTTCTTCTTCATCATCGTATTCATCCACCTCTTCACTTGAATCTTTATTGCTCTTTTTGGTGGATTTGAAGGTAATGTCTACCTCATTTTTTTGTTTTTTATTTTATTCATCTTCTTCCTCTTTCTTCACCATCAACTCATGAGTGAGAAGAGAACCAATAAGCTCATCAAGAGTGAGAGACTTTAGATTTTTAGCCTCAATGATCTTCTTCGATTGCCAAGACTTTGGAAGAGGGTATATAATCTTCCTCACAAGCTTCTCATTATGGATTACTTCTCCAAATCCCTTGAGACCATTGACAATCATGGAAAATCTATCCGTCAAAGCTTTGATGTCTTCATCGGGTTTCATTTTGAAATTCTCGTAGCTATGGTTGAGAAGACTTATCTTAGTTTCCATCACTTCATCGATTCCTTCATGACTGGCTTGGAGTTTTTCCCATATTTCCTTGGCATTGAAACAAAAAGAGACTCTTCCATATTCATTCGGGCCTAATGCACAAAAGAGGATGTGCATAGCCTTATTATTGAGTTGGAACTTCTTTTTCTCTCCATCACTCCAATCATCCATCTCACTAGGTGGAGTGAAATAACCCTCCATGATTGAGTTGCAAGCTCCTAGAGCATTGACTTGAATAAAGAGAATCATCTTATTCTTCCAATAGGCGTAGTTTGCTCCATTGAAAGTATGGTGGCTTGTTAACCGGTTATGAATCTTCAATATAGTAAGGAGCCGAAAGTCAAAGCCATCTTCTTGTCGGTTGCATCAGGAATCAGTAGATCTTGTTCTAGGATGGTATCAAGATTGTTAAATCTTCTAATGAGTCAAGCTCTGATAACAATTGTTGAGATTTTCGAAGCTCAATTTGAACAACCGAAAAATGCACAAGGGGTGAATTCGCAAAAATTATTTAGGGAGTAAGGAAAAGAAAATATAGACAATTTTGCATAGCGATTTATAGTGTTTCGACTTCACAAATAAGTCTACCTCCACTATCTTAGCTCCTCACTAAGGATTTTATAACAAATCTACTAATTTGTTATTTATTTTTTAAGGATCAAGAGTAACCTTTATAAACCCCCTATTTTTTCAAATGGCTAAACTAAAACCAATCCCCTTTACAAAAGATAAAAAGAAGTAAACAAATAAAACCTGTTAAAGGTATGGCGTTTACAAAATAAAGCTCACAAGAACAAATATGTACAAGAGAATAGAAAATAAGAATGAAAAACTCTTCCTTTTGTGTTTGAATGCTTGGATAGGTGTTCTGACCATTCTTCAAGTGTCTTGAACTTGTATTTATATGTTGGAATGAGTTTGTTGTCGTTTCTAGTGGTTGGGAGTGATTTGGAGCCATTGGGGATGTTTTCTCTGTAAAATAAAACTACCCAGTACAAAGGGCATTGGTACTCCTATAGGGAGTATCGGTGCTACCTTTGTTATTTTTAAATAAAAATAGTTGTTACTAGCCGTTGGGCCTGACGGTATCGATACTAAGCCTATGGTATCAATACTACTATGTAATATAGTATCAGACTACCTTTGGGTATCGGTACCATTTTTGCATTATGGAATTTGAGCAAGCTCATAGTATTGGTACTACCTAGTGAGTACCGATATTTCCCTTACATTTGGTATTAGTATCATATGCTCAATTCCAAGTTAAATGGACTTTGAATTATTTTTGAAAACTTTGAAAAAATTCGAATAAATTCAATTTAAGTCCTAAAACATTTTGTCATAAATTGTTATATCAAAACATAGTTCAACAGATTGTTAAACATTCCAATTATGAGCCAAGCTCTCATACCAACTATTGAGCCAATCAATAAAAAATGTGACCAAGAGAGAGTGAATTGGTAATAAAAATTTGGTGGAATCTTTTGCAAATATTAAAGAAAAATTGACAAAAATGATTTAGAGTTGTTTAACTTCTTCAATGAAGTCTACAACCACTATGTAATACCCCAATTTAGGGGCTAAATTTAAGAAAATATAAATTGGTGGATTTAATTTGGTATTTTGAAAGAAACAGGGGATTAAATTGTAAAGTTCTAAAGTTGGCAGACCGTTTTCAGAAGTGCAGAAAGTTCAGTGGCTAAACCCATGATTTAACCATTTTTTTAATATGTTGAATTATAAATCTGATTCTCGTGCGCAGGCAGCAGAAATTTTCCAGATTTCCCTTCTCCAGCAACCCAACTTCCAACTCCGATCTACTCGCCGTCCGACCTCCAAACGACGAGACGAAACAACCATCGTGTTCGTTGTCAACCGAGGAACAAAACCCCTCAAACCTTTCGTCGTGAATCATCGCCGTTCGTCGTGAATTTCAGTCGGAAGTATCGTCTGTAATAACTCGGTTTTAGTTGGTTTTTCATCGATTCACAACGATCGGGTCATCCGTTTACGACACCTCCCGCACCATCGTGTTTCTTGTGCCGTTCCGAGTCCACCGGTGTTCTCCTTTTTCTCCTGCGGCGGCAGCGCGTGTGGAGGTGAAGCGGTCAAAGTTTCCGACGTTTCAAAATCGAGCTTGTAAACCCAAAAGGCTTAATATTTTGATTATTTAAATGAGGTTTGAGTCAAAATTTTTCAAGATAGACCGGCCGGTCAAATGTCAAAATATGTCTGATCAGTACATGCCCCTAGACTGCAATCGTACCTCTCTGAGCCGGAACTCCAGGGCTGAGTCCCTATCTGTATTGAGTAAACCAAAGTTTCTATCTGCTAAGGCTATACTTGTACAAAAAGGAATACCAGTAACATCTGTCTAAATGCTGTAAAGTATCTCATGAGCCATGTGAGAGTTATTCATCTGAGAATTTCTGACTCGACTCCGGAAATGAAATTGAGATATGTTGCTGCTCTACGAGCCTATTCACGTATCCAATGCTGAATTGATTTCACAAGAATAAAGTTGTTCTGATTATTTACTTGGACTGAGGGAGAATTCTGAAGAGATTGATTACTCGAGAAAATTTTAAATTCTTTTATTGAAATAAGGAAAAATTTATGATAAGAATGTATGCTCAGCTGGTTAAGGATAAGTGGAGGAATCGTACTTTTATAAAAGCTATTGATAGATTTGAAAGAACTGATGGAAGTTTCATTTATGCAATTATGTGAAATGAATGAATTTCGAGGACGAAATTTTTTAAGGAGGGGAGAATTGTAACACCCCAATTTAGGGGCTAAATTTAAGAAAATATAAATTGGTGGATTTAATTTGGTATTTTGAAAGAAACAGGGGATTAAATTGTAAAGTTCTAAAGTTGGCAGACCATTTTCAGAAGTGCAGAAAGTTCAGTGGCTAAACCCATGATTTAACCATTTTTTTAATATGTTGAATTATAAATCTGATTCTCGTGCGCAGGCAGCAGAAATTTTCCAGATTTCCCTTCTCCAGCAACCCAACTTCCAACTCCGATCTACTCGCCGTCCGACCTCCAAACGACGAGACGAAACAACCATCGTGTTCGTTGTCAATCGAAGAACAAAACCCCTCAAACCTTTCATCGTGAATCATC